CAATTTCTTACGCTGTGTCGACAGGGCATTCGAGAAAGAAGCCACAGAGTGAAATGACTCTGAGAAAAGTAGTGATTGATTGATTGATATGTGGGGTTTAACGTCCCAAAACCACCATATGATTATGAGAGACGCCGTAGTGGAGGACTCCGGAAATTTCGACCACCTGGGGTTCTTTAACGTGCGCCCAAATCTGAGCACACGGGCCTACAACATTTCCGCCTCCATCGGAAAGGCAGCCGCCGCAGCCGGGATTCGAACCCGTGACCTGCGGTTCAGTAGCCGAGTACCTTAGCCACTAGACCACCGCGGCGGGGCTGAGAAAAGTAGTGACATCCGGAGTGTAGCATTATACCATGGTCCTGACAGCATGCCACGTGTCAAGTACATGTGATGTTTCGAGCTGATGTACTTGTGTGGCACCCCATATTGTACGCCTCTATTGCAGCGACGAAGTGACGTCACGTCATTCATAGTGTGTTCGCCATTTACTCGCCGTTGACGTGTCGTGTGGGGAAGAGATCTCCCGCTAGGCCTGCGGCAAGAAATCTTAGACACATGCTTTAATTAGCATGGCTTTTCCTGTAAAAGTGAACGGGATAAAGAAAACAGATATTCAACGAGAAAATTGAAACTTAGTTGTGAAGAAATTATGCATGCAAAGCTATCGTGGCTCTTTTCATAAGTGTGCCACATTCCGACGTGTCGAGCATTCTTAGGTTGAACTTTGCTTGCTGGAATTGCTGATACAAATAGTGCATGGTGAAACTGAAATCTGTAGTGAATATTTGTGAGTTCGTTTGCCCTAACGAAAATTGCTAGGTAACTCTGGGATGCCTTTAAACGCTGCTGTTACACACAAGCTTTGCTGGACTGGTGGCCCGAGCTATCAATTTTTATGTGTCGCAATTCAAGTGTAATATCGAATCATAGTAAGCTGGATTGGCTTGGTATGTCTTGATCACGTGCAATGTCACGAGTAATATGTGACCCTCTGGCGCTACCTAGTTTGGTTTACGGTTTACGGTTAATTAAGAAAAGAAGCACACAGATAATACGAGTTTGCGTTATTGTGAGTGGTGTGACGTGAAAAGAACATTATTTATTTGTCCCGATAAAATAACAAAGGGAGCCCTAGAGCTCCCTATCAACTCTGTGCTTCCACCCAAGACGGAACATGCAGGCGCTGACTCTCGGCTTGTGCCCGCTCCCTCTCTACAGTTTGCAGTTTAAGAGTGATGTTCAAACTGCGAACAGCATTGTCCCACTTCATTTAATTGTGCAGACTGGAGTCCGCATTGAATAGGCACACCCAGAGCATAAAATCAAGGAAGCAGGACCCATGCCCGCATTCAGAGCCGGACTGCGGAAAGTCAGGATCAAGACAATTAAGTGTCTCGAGCTGGAATAGGTTCGTTTCTGCAACAATATAAACTTGACCGACTGCCCCCTATTCAGCTTGTCACTAGGGTGGGGGGGGGGGGGGGTTAGTGGTCAAGGTATCGCCCTGCTTAATTTGTAATGCGAGGTAATATCGTACAATGTGGATAGCAGATCTTGGGAGGGGGGTACACTTGAGGAGAATAATAGAGGTGTTTCAACAACCGCTTTCGTGAATTCTCACGCTAGACAGGGAGCTCACTTATTGATATTACACCCTGCTAAATTAACATTCTCCATCGACCTAAGCTGGAAGCCAAAAAAGTTGATGTCCTCCCTTCTCATTGGTCGCGGTGTTGTGAAAGTATTCATGAACAATTCTCGCCGCTTGTTGCTACATTAGTCGGGCAGGGAAAGGACTGACCGCCGTACGTGAGTCGGTGTTCTAGTCGTGGGAACATTGGTAACACATGTGGCCAAGGCTAGAGCTGTTCCGCCGCCTGAGCGTTGTTCGTGCAAATGGATGGCCCAACCAGTAGCTTCCCATGAGCGTCGACAACTGTTATTGCAGACTTGTTCTCCCCGTCATATTTTGCAGTGTCGAAGAAGAGAACACCGGCTTGTAACGAGTTCATCTTTGAAATGCGAATGCGTTTCTTAGTTAAGGCATGTCAGGTGTCCGTAGGTGTCCGCGCGCCAGTAGATGTTATGCCTTTGCCCTCACTCTCCCTGTCATAAACACAGCTGCGGGCGCGCGCTTATCTTCGCCTCTAGCAGTCGTGCCATACCATACCAGTTTTGCAATATGTCATGTAAAAGAAACCATGGCAAAAACAGCGAGACCATGAAATGTAAACCATGACATTCATGACATACATGTCTTGATTTTCATAGCATTACCAGTCACTTGTGCTCATTTTACCGTCATGTTATTTCATACCAATTCCGGTATCGATACCACGATCGAAACGGCCAGGAGAGCTATAAGTCGTAGATAGATAGATAGATAGATAGATAGATAGATAGATAGATAGATAGATAGATAGATAGATAGATAGATAGATAGATAGATAGATAGATAGATAGATAGATAGATAGATAGATAGATAGATAGATAGATAGATAGATAGATAGATAGATAGATAGGGTCAAAGTCGCTGAAGTTTGCTAAGAAATGCTTCCCATTTAAAAAGTTCCGTAGCCTTCGCGATATTCACATTGCCGTAAGCTCTCTGAGAACGTGAAGCACGGGTGGAAGATGACAGGCTTGCTAAGTAAAATAGTGACCGCAATCTTCAAAGCCCAAATATTTTAGAACAGGTGTAGTTCAACCGAGATGGTCATCTCGGCCTTAACGATATTAAACTTTCACTGGATGACTGGTGCTCCTACCTGAAGGCACATCCACCGAGGTGGTGTAGGAGTTACGGTGCGCGGCTCCTGTCCCGAAGCTAGGTCGTGGGTTTTATCCCTGTCACTTTGATGCAGGTGGAATGGGAAAGGCTCGGGTACTGTGGGATGGCAGTGCGCGTTAAAGGACACCAGATGGTTGTAATTTCCGGTTCCCTCCACTAAGGCCTCTGTCGTAACCATATCTTGATTTTGGTACGTTAAAGCCGAGATATTGTTAAGATATTGCCTGAAAGGCACGGCGTTTAGCTGCCTATCGAGAGTACTGACTGGCTGGTTAGTACCAGCGCTCATGCAATCACCTCGCAGCCAAGTAACTACGCGGTAGCAATGATTGTCTGCTACTCCACGTCAGGTGTATATTATCTTGCGCCATAGGCGTACACTCGTGAGGCCGCACAATGGTAGGCTCGCTGCCGTGGAGCAAGATGTTACGTTGAACCTAAGCTGTGTCGACAGTGTAAAAAAAGAAACTGCGTGTTTACGAATGATAGGACCTGGAGCTTTAAAATCACTTTTTTTTCATTTCATTGTTACCGATTCTAATAAAAGTACTAATTACTGGAGACAGCTGAACTATCATTTATACCACGTTTCGTTGCATCAACTGAGGATGCATATTTGAGTCACAAGCTTATATGTGTGATCAGTTGAGTTTTCAGGTCGTGTTAATAACAAGCGAGTCAAAATGAGTTGTACACATTTTTATTTGGTGACAATTTTCTAAGATTCAAATGATATTCTTGCAGTAACAGCAATCACACTGTATGATGCCTTAGAAACGTTTTCTGTTCATTCAACGCCCAGAAGACATCTTGCTCAAATTCACTGATCTCCCTCCCTACCGCCCGCGTGCACGATAATATGGACGATTCGATAGCCATAAGTTGCCCCCAGAACGTCGGCACAACCCTTCTGTATATCTGCTCTTTTAACTCAGTAAACTAATTCTATGAATGGCATGTGGGTGCGTTAAATGCAGGCTGTTAGATGATTCTGTCAGTAGATTAGCAAACAGTAAGTGTTTTTTTTAACGATTACTGTTTGCTAGTCTACTAACAGAACAGTTTGCGGTAAAGCTACGTTGCTTATGCATGAGCCCGATTGAAAACGGGAGCTACGTAAAGTAGACCCCCATAGACCCACTCGTGTTGTTGTTTTTTCTTTATTGCTGGGTGAAGTGATAATCGAAAAGCTCAAGTATATAAATATCATCATCATCATCATCATCATCGTCATCAGCCTGACTACGTCCACTGCAGGACAAAGGCCTCTCCCATGTTCCGCCGTTAACCTGGTCCAGTGCTTGCTTCTGCCAATTTATACCCGCAAACTTCTCAATCTCATCTGCCCACCTAACCTTCTGTCTCCCCCTAACCCGCTTGCCTTCTCTGGGAATACAGGCGGTTACCCTTAATGACAAGCGGTTATCCTGTCTACGCGCTACATGCACGGCTCATGTCCATTTCCTCTTCTTGATAAAAATAAACTCTTGCTTAATGCGCAACACCCCAGCGTGACTTGCACTCGCATAAACGTTGTGGAAAAACAAGGCCATACTTATGCGGCAGCTAAGCTTGTATTCCTTTTTTTCGCAAACATGAAATCCTAATAAGTAGTGGAGTCGAGGCTGTTTCTAGATTTGAAATTTCTTGATGTAGTTGAGTTTTTACTTCCCTACAAGTAGGCATCTGAGCTTTGGCTACAAGCATGCTAAACAAGTGCTCCCCCAGTTGCAATAAAATAGTCAGCCATAACACCCCACCCATTCCATAGCTAAGTATCGAGCTAGCAATATCTATGCGTCAGCTGATTTATCTACTCATCATTGAGGAATTCTCTTCCTCTCACACACAGATGAAACATTAGTTACGGGTTTTAAATTTACGCTCCACAACTTCTAATCTCATAGGTGACAGGAGTGTGATGCACGTCACCACAAGCTACCGGCATTCGTTTAATGAACATCGCATCCGCTTATGGCATGGAGACATGAACTTTCGAAGAATGACATGAACCCTTGAAGCACTTCGGCCCTAACAGGAGAGAGTTTTGGGCGGTAGCACTTCGGTACGTTCCACGGACAGGACAGAGTTATGAATAAGATGATGTAAGGTGAAAGTGCAGCGTAGACCCCAGTGCGGCGTGGGTGTCGATAGTCCAGGCGACTATCCGATAGTCCAGGCGACTATCCGATAGTCCAGGCGACTAGTCCAGGCGACTAGTTCTTGCCCAGTGAACTAGCCACTCTCACGGCCAACTCGATGACGTTGGTGATCTTTGTCTCGTCGGCAGCGAGTTCGGGCAGCACCGGCAGCTTCTTGCACGCAGCAGAGCCGCGGGAGTACTGGCCGCACACCAGGCTGAGTGTCTCGCCGAAGATGCTTTCCATGCTGCCCGTCATGAACTCCTTGCCGTGTTCCGTTTCGCAGCTGGAAACAGAATCTTCCACGCACTGCAATGCGTCGTGGTACCCACTGCGAACAAACAGTGTTCACGCATTAGTCGAAGAGTTCATTTCTGCCATACGTGATTAAAATAAAGAAAACAAAAGTACTCGAACAGAAAAAAAAAGAATTTATACGATGAAATACCGACTATTGTCTAATACAACTTAAAAAGTCCAGAGAGACTCCGCCCAGATGATCTAAGCGCAGTAGCCATCTATTCAGTACCACCGATGCCCCACTTGCAGTACCCACTCGTCCATGTTCTCCGAGGGTGGAGTTACCCACCGACCTGCTCATGACGTCAGTGTTCAGTGGGCTCCCATCGTTTCACGATTGTGCTCATCCGTCTTTTGAGAACGAAATGCCGCAGTCTTGGAATGTTCAATGAGACTATAATAATAATAATAATAATAATAATAATAATAATAATAATACCTTTTATTTCTTCAAATAAAGCAGTACTTGTGACTAGGCCTGCCAAAGCCATTTGGTGGCTTGAGTGGCAGAGCCTGGCAGACAGCAAAAAAACCGGACGCGTTACAAGATTGTATCTTATGACCTAAGAGGTATGACAGGACAAAAAACAACGTGCATATAAGATTAAAAACAACAAAGCATATAAGCAATAGTTACAAGCGTTATACAATAATTACAATAATTGCATTATACAATAATATTATCGAATGCGATTGTCATCTCGCGAAAGTTGTGCAGTGGCTTACAGATCTCGGTGAACAAGGATGCGTAATCTACTCTTTCGAGCATCCCACGTTATAAAAATTGGCCGGAATTGCCGCATCACCTGTCTATATACGGCGTGCCTGGATGACAGTGCTTTGTGTAAGCTTCAGTGTTACGTGAGTGGGCATCGTGCTCACGTTAATTTGTTTTGGCTTAGCTGTTAGATTAATCTGCAATAATGTAAACTTAGAATGTTTCACCTTATTTGCTACGTTTGTAAGGGTCAATATTTTGTATTCTTGCAATTATGAATAGTTGGCAGCGTGCGCCATGTCACCCTGTCTTATATAGGACATACTAGACGCATTTTTTATTAAATCATGCATGCTTGCTCAACAGTAACTTGGCAATCATAAAGTTAAGTTTTTATCATAACTCAAGGAAGGTTAGCACTATTTTATATGAAATCACCACTGCCTTTGTAAGAATGAGACGTAGTGAACTCAGTATTCCGAAAAGAGTTTGGCACGTGTCTGCTTCAACAAAAGTTTGGAAACCACTCAGAACATAATCATGTGTTGCAAGGATATCCCAGCGGCAAGAATCAGCAAGGCATGTTTCACCATTGGGCGAAAACAACGCAGCCGGAATGTTGTAGAAATAAATTTTAGGGGCGAAGTTCCTTGAAGTCAAGCCTTGTCCGTTGTTGCGTCGTACCCAGCCGCTAGAACTCGAGCGCCTACTAGATGGCTCTGTGGCGCTCACTTCACTCCCACGCGCAGTGACGGGAAAGCTCACTTGCCATCGCTCGAAAACATGCAGTCCACGTCCTGATAAAGACGCTCGACGAGAAGCGCATGTACGAACCGAAGGTGTAAGTAGCGCGTCATGCGTGTGCTAAGAGCGCTCTACCTATGCTCTTCGGTTGCACTCTCGTGTCTCATGTAAAAGTGCATCTCCTCGCAAACTCTTGTAAATAGTAGACTTTTGTGAGCAAGAAGCCTCGTTGCTCACAAGTCAACTCATTTATTTCACGTAACTCTGCAAAACGCTGGTGTGAGAGAACACGGCCGCTCCAGGCAGACTTTCGCACTACATTTCGTGCTGAGAGCGCAGCCCGTAGAAGCTCCCAGCTGCTGTGGGGGCAGGAGGCATGCACTGCTCATTACCGCGATGGCGCGGCAACCATTAGCGCCCCCCCACCCTTGTTCGCTGCCGAGATAAGCGCGCTCGCAAACGAGCTGGGCCGAAAAGGTTGTGTTCGCTCCGCAGAAACAGGAGGCTACATCCTAATCAGTTAAAATTTCAGGCCATTGTGAATGCACCACTTCCTACAAGTGCCAAATTATTGCAGTTATTTTTTGGTCTTGTTGGTTACCATGCAAAGTTTGTGTCACATTATGCAGATGTGGTTGAGTCTTTGGCAGGGACAGCCTTTTATGTTTTATCAATCAGTCCCCTCAAGCAAGTTTTGACTGAATGCTTCGCTTCGTACAGATTTTCACCGCAGGGTACCACAGAAGTGTCCCCTGTTCCACCAGTAGGTACACTTGCTGAAAGGTCCTCCCCCCTTGTGAACACAGTCTCTGAAACCGGAGGGCACATCCAATCATCTAAAGAGTACTGCGGAAGGGTGGAAGGACATACTTATACATATACGTGAATGGCAGTGGCGGAAAAAACCAGCCGAGACTGTCCATATCATTGCTATCTTATATTAAATGTTATTTCAGCTTACCAGCAGGCGTAGTGGATGACCTCCTTCGGTGGTGCACTTTTTGTGCCACGTTGAAGCAAGTCGCTGAGCGACCCCATGCACTTGTACAGCTGTGGTCCAGCGGAGTTCAGGCACTTCACGGCATTATAGTACACTGCAATAGAGACATAGCAAACAAGGTGAGACACAGCCGTCAATAGTGTGGAACAGCACGGCGTTGCAGGCAGTATTATCAATATCATATAAGTACCTCAAGTCGGAACGCCACAACTTTGCATCTAATACATCTCACTTTCAAGCTATCCCGATTGCAGCACATTTGTGTGATGTAAGTCTTCTCATTCTACGATGTGGTAAACCTAATGAATGACACGACGAAGTAGTATTAAAGGATTACCTGAATTAGGAAGCCCAAAGATAATCCAATTTAATGCGCACAATGGTGGTGTCTATCTCATGGTCAGTTGTTTCTTTCCCACATTCCCTGCTGATCCTCTCCCGCTGGGACAGCCTGCCATCTCAAGCTGGGAGTGCTGGGAGATCCTGTTCTCGTCTGGGGACCCTACGGTGCAGCTTGCTGCGGTGACTAGGGCAGCCGATGTAACCGTGGCGGGAGGCATGACCGTGTCATTCGGTCTTTGTCTATGCGTATGCTCCATGTTCTCGCCAGTTCTTTGGCTAACACTTGGAAACTTCCTTAGCACTAACCGCCACAATCAGCATGTATTGACACGTACTACGTCAGAACTGATATGCATCCATATTGAAGAAATGACACCACCTAAGCTCGTTACATCAATTGCATCTTTAGGCGCGATGCCACCAAAGCAGGCGCTGAAGGGACCGCGGCAAATTTAAAAGGGGAGGGCATGTTTCTAAATGCGAAGCGTTTCTTAACGAACTTCTGCGACTTTGAGCGTATCTATCCATCTATCTATCTAGCCGCTAAGTTTGGGGGCTTTCGTGGTTAACCTCTTAACTTGGCGTGAGCTAAAATTAGCATGGGAGGGTAAGATGGATTGACGAATATGACGCGCTGGTGAACAATTAAATAATGTCACAATTTCGTCGCGTGCGTTCTCAAACACTTCCCGCCAGACAGTGGCACATACCCATGGGCGGGTATGTGCCACTGCAGTATGCGGGCATGGGCCATAGGGGATTGACACCCCCCTATCTACCCAGGAACGACAAGAGCACCCATGGGCAAGTTAAAATGGCCCACGGGTGTTCTCGTCGTTACCCGAAATTACCCGACATTGGTAGCGTCGACCTGACGAATGCAAAGAATATATGTCAGCGTCCCAGCTGCAATCGAACCTAAGCCTTCTGCGTGGCCATGAATAATTTTACCACAGAGCTACGCCAGGTCTCGAAACTACTTTTCAAGTCAACGCTAATCTTCGTGAAACGTCAATAGTGGTTGCAGTGCTGCCTACCCAATTTTATGAACATTACATATGTACTTCTTTTATACAGCTGTCACGTCCGGTTAACGTCAATTCTGGCTAGTTGCCATGCGCAGTAGTTGATTTATGTAGCAGGGTCCAGGGCCAGCATCCTTGAGACATCAGCGCTTCATATCAACTTCCGGTGTTGCTAATACGCATGTTTCAGTTGACATCGTTGTGCAAGTGCAAACAACTGCCTATATGAACATCTGCAACTCTTCAACATATGTCTGTGCGCATAACATTTGTACATATGTTTAGCGTCATTTCATGACGTGTCGCTCAATAAAAAAATTGCGACATGGTCATGCTCCCTCCGCATGCTTCGCATAACGTCGATTCCCAGGTACGTGGGATCTGCCGAATTTTTTAACAGTGCGCTATGTTAGGTCAGTTGGCGCGCCGTTACGTTATATACGTGGTGCAGAGTGAAAAATGAGGAGAATGAGTACGAGTAGGAAATAACACCTAGTTTATTTTCCCGAAGGAAAATTATTGCGAATGTTTCAGGGAAATGTATTTGGTTGTGAGCTGGCGCTTTTTTTTTTCTTTCTCATCTTCCTTGTCCTCGCTTTTACCCTAGCGCAGCTTCAACCAAAGGACAATCTTTTCAAACTGTACGTAACGGTATGACCAAATGGGCCGAACGTATGTTGCGGATGATTTGGTAAGCCTGTGCAACAACGTACACTCACAATCTTCTTAAGAGTAAACGTGGGAGTGCATGACTTTTGGATATCACTGCACTTTAACAGGCATATGATATGATATCGCTGCCTGTGATATCACAGGCCTGCCATATCACAGGCAGCAAAAAGCATCGCTCATGCACAGTGCGGCCTGGATGCGAGAATTCGGCCGTCGCGCATTGCGTCAGGCGAGCTGGCGCGTGTCCTCTGCTGCACAAGCATGGCAGTAGGGAGGCCGTGTGCCTAAAAATGGCAACAGTGTATACTTTTCAAATACGTTTCACGCGATTCCCAGACGAACTTGAAAATATGTTTTGTTTAGCTGGTGTTCTCTGGATTTTCATGGATCTGTAACTGTGCACTTTTCTGTTGCACTTGCTGTGTTCCAGCATGTCCTGGCGCTGGTGGACATTGTGAAAGTTGTTAACGAGCACATAGAAATTCGCCGGATTGCGGTGTTCTTGATCTCTATGGTTTAACGTACCAAACCCCCCATATGATTATGACAGACGCCGTAGTGGAGGGCTCCGGAAATTTCGACCACAAGGGGTTCTTTAACGTGCACCCATATCTGAGCACATGGGCCTACAACATTTCCGGCTCCATCGGAAATGCAGCCGCCGCAGCCGGGATTGGAACCCGCGACCTGCCGGTCAACAGCCGAGTACTTTAGCCACTAGACCACCGCGGCAGGGCGATTGCGGTGTTCTTCTAAAAGGCCTTAGTATTTATGAAAATAAGGAGAATATACACGAAATCGGCTATGGTAGGGCATCCTGTTTACTTGGCGACTGCATGCGGTCAAACTCAAGGTTCGCCACGAGTGGGAGATTCTTCGGGCGCATCACAACTTTGTGCCAGTGCAGTAGTCATCAGTGCCTTCCAGAATGGCAGCAGCGCTTTTGTTTGTGAAAGCAGGAGAATACAAAATACTAGTGTAACATGGAGTGCAACCACTCCATATTACTCATACAGCTTCATCAAAGGAACCAGTCTTTCCTGAAACGTGAACCAAATTACAGTTCTGGTGTTTGCGTCTCTTTGCCTATTCGTTGTACGACTACAAAAACGTCGGAAAAAGAAAAAAAATCGAAAACCACGTGACATGGGATGCATAAGAGTGAAGCTGTTTGAACTGAGAGCAGCCACATTTCAGTTTCGATCATACAATACGATCCCCAGGGAGGCCAAAAAACAGCTAGCAGACGACACACGAGTGCTGCGATGGCTTGATGTGCGCGAATGGAAGCTACTCTCCTCGCGCATGCGCGCAGATACTCTGACGTGCCGCCTTACGGCGCTAGTAGTACCTTTAAGCACGAACGCTCCGCCACGTGTCCTGCAGCAGTTTCATTGACGCTGGCCCCACGTACGTGTTGCCAGGATGCTAACCATACGTGCCGGTATACTAAACAAGCCTACCGAGGTATTATCTCGGCAAAATCGCCCAGCACTTCGCGGCTGGCATCAATAAAACTTAACCTGTCCACGCATGGAAGTGTTTGTGTTAAGCTTGCTGACGACTGTACATCGGTAAGCACGTTCATACATCTGTATTCGGCTACCCGAGCAACAGTCTGGAGTACAACTGATGGTGCGCACTTGTCTCGCCACTGCCGTGAATTTGACAAGAATCGACAGCTTAGTTACTTGTACTGTATTGAAAAAAAAAATATACGGTAAAGGTGAGCCCATAGTTTTGGAAAGTTTCTGCAAGAGGCTATATGAAGATAATTCGTTATTTTTTTTGTAAAAACAACTATACCAACAGACAATAAAACTACACAGGAATAGGGTTGATATATGGGCTTGTTGGAAATGTACTTACAGAACACAACGACAAGAAATGTAACACTGCGCCCTGTGTCGTCTTGTTTCTTGTCATTGTGTGCTCACGCTTCAAGTTTGCTGTCACACAGGACAGCCACAAAGATTGCTTGATCTGCTTCGCGGTCAAAAAAAGTTTTTTGACTGAGTATGCGTTCTGGATGGTTTGCTAACGTACCATTTCGTGGAGAATCACATGATGTGTTCTACTTTTCATCGCTACTTTTAGAATAATTTTCTGTATAGCGGGCTGGCTGCGACCAAGGAAGTTTAAAAGAATTGCTGGAGTGGAAATTCTCGCCCACGAGTGAAGCCGTGTCAACCGTAAGACAGCGGCTGCGGCAGCCATCTTACTAGGGGCATGATGAGCTGTTAGAAACGTTTTTCTTGCACACCCAATGAGTTTAACGGCGCTACCTTTTAGAGTCAGATATTGCTCAAAGTGCGTCTTCGTAAGACTAGTTTTATTTAGTAAACCTCGAACTAAAGCCTAATTTCGCTGAAGATAAATCACCGACCCTAGTCTCTGCGGATTTATATCTTCGGAAACAACTATCTTTTAATTTATAACTACCCTAGCCCTTAGACTTACAAATCAAAGCCACTCGATGTTTGAGTGGGCACCACGAGAAAATAGCATGCTTCAGAGATCTTTGGAGAGCAAAACCTGGCTTCACCACTGCTGGCAAAACATTGCGGGAGCTTCCACTCCTGCAAATTAAAAAAAAAAAAAAATCCTCGGCTGCGACGAAGGGCGAACACCCCACAGCATGCTCTCATACAGGGGCGAGAGTCGTTCAGCCATGGCCCGGTCTGGAACTTATGAAATGGCGTTTCGGTGTCCCACTGAACCGGAACACTGAACCGGAACCCTTATTCAGCGCAAAGCCAAATGATTCAGGGGAACATTATTCGACAATTCGAGAACCATATAGGCGCATTTCATGGCCAAACATAGGTACGCCGCGTCCACAAGTTTATCGGTGAAGTTCTAGAGGCCCATGTACTGTGTGAGTCCAACGCATGTTCATAAACATGAGGTGGTCGAAAACACTTCAGCCCTCCACATAGGCGTTCCTCGTAATCACTTCATTGGTTTGGGGTCGTAAAGCCCCAAATAATATTTCTTAAAGAGGCTCTGCAACACTCTTCCAAGTAGCCATGCAATGTATTCAGTAAAGGAGCTTACTGCCTCATGAATTGAACATCGCAATCTTTTCAGATTGTGTCCAGTACAACAATTACAAAGATTTGTCACACGCTGCAGTTGCTTTCTCTCTTCTCTTGTCTCGTGCCCCGCCGCGATGATATAGTGGCTAAGGTACTCGGCTGCTGACCCGCAGGTCACTGGATCAAATCTCGCTTGCGGAGGCTGCATTTTCGGTGGAGGCGAGAATGCTGTATACGCCCGTGTGCTCAGATTTGGGCGCACGTTAAGGAACCCCAGGTGGTCTAAATTGCCGGAGCCCTCCAATACGGCGTCTCTCGTAATCATATGGTGATGTAGGGACGTTAAACCCGACATACCTCTCAATCATCAATCTCTTGTCGCGAGGGAAGTGCTGGAACATAAGCAGGTAGCAATGGCACGCCTCACAGGGGAAGAATGTATATGTCAGACGCACTTCGTGTATTTTAGCACTTTTTCTCTTTGTGTTTCTTCGAACGCGCGGCTTTTCCTTGCGTTTGTGCTCGCATCAGCGGACCCGTCGCGGCCTCCCGTGGCGTACCCAATAACTCCTGGGCACGCTAAGGTCAACCGGTGGCGTGTTACTTAGAATTGTGACGCATTGATTTTTCAGAACATAATGTAATTAATTGATAAAAGTGAACGTGGTATTTAGCTGAGTTCGAGAACAAGTTGTGCATTCCTGGCAGCGTGATGTGCTATATTATTTGGCTCACTTGTTCTCGGGAACCTCGACTACCAATCAGCCGCGTTTTCTGACCATGCTCTAAGTGTGCTGCTTCACTTTAAGTGCAAAAATCTTTCTAAATTGAAGCCTATCTTCGCACACTTGCACAGCTGCGGTTGGGGAAAAAGCAGGTAACCTTGTTATTGCTCATCTCCTGTCACGCAGCAGGCACAGGGGCTCTGGGTTTATGTCACAGCCGATAACCTATTTTTAGGGGCGAAGCTCTTTATAGCGGCACCCGTTCGTCCCTCGTAGCCCTTGTAGTATGTAACATGTATAACATTTTGACCTCTAAGGTGGTGCCGGTGAGAGATTATTTCTGTGCGTTGTTGAACAATAAAAATAGTGCTCAATGTACATGGGGAACGAGAGACAGGAACATTCGGCTTCTAGTTAACGCGCACGCTGCAATCCCCATTAGCAGCCATTGGCATGTACCATGAGCTCTATCTGACAAGAGAGTTGCTACGTTATACTCGCTGGGTGTAACCTCCTTATTTTTAGAAAGGTTTAGCGCGCGTTGAGCCACAGTGCCATGAATACAATGAACTAGTATATACCATGAACTTGAGGTGGTTAAAAATGGGAAGTAGATACGAAGCGCAAGCCGTAAGAAAGGAAAAGCCGAATTCTCCGCCTCTCATTTCCTATTAGCAGCCATTGGCATGTACGTTGAGCACTATCTGACTGAAAAAGTTTGCTACGTCATACTCGCTGGGCGTAACCTCCTTGGTTTTGAAAGGTTTAGCGAGCGTTCGGCCGCAGTGCCATGAATACAGTGAACTAGTATATACCATGAACTCGAGGTGGTTAAAGGTGGGAAGTAGATCCGAAGCGCAAGTCGTAAGAAAGTGTGCGTGTGCCACCTCTCGTTCAGTCCTTGGAATGTCCGCTGGGTGGCGGTGCTTCTATATGGGGAATATATGATGAAAAGAGGCGAGATGGTGGTAATTGGAGTGTTGAATAGATGGACGAACGGAGACACCGACCGATGCATGGATAGATGCAAGAATGGACGCAGGGGTGGATGCATGCACGAACGCAGGGACGGGCGCACAAACAAACGCACGCAGAAATGGGCGGATGGACGGATGGACGGTCACACAGACGGACGCATGGACGGACGGAAGCAAGAACGAATGGACGGACGAATGCTTCGCCCCACTCTCCATCATTTGCTCCGTGGATATGCTGCCAATTTTTCTCCAATGAGAAAGCATGTAAAAATGCAATAAGGTCAACCACTGTTTAGCTATTGTATATTTCATGGTATACATAAAGAGTGAAATGCTTATGCATAAAGGAAAGTATTCAAATACCGAACCCGGCCTTTTGAGGAAAACAAATTCTCCGAGAAACCTAAAAAGTTTTACCTGTCAAGAAAGGTAATAACCACACATATTTCGGGAAAAGGCGAGGGGGCTGTCTTGCTCAAACGTTTGAAGTAGCGGACCTCCTCAGTGTGAGATGAGATGGCCTCCCCAAGCGACGAATTTACTGGCTTAAGTTATTCAGCACTGCTGGAATCTCTTTATGATTGTTCTGTGAGCGCGTCGCGTTAGAAATCATGTTCAGCTTTACTTTTTCCTTTCAAATTGTTTCTACCACTTCCTTGTCGCCAGCCAAGGCTATAATTTGGCGTTCATAGCTCGATGTGGAATTAACATGTCGCTAAACGCTTGGTTCGGGCCCCGTATGTTTCGCAAAGCATCGAGCCCTCACCTTGTTTTCCACGTGCGTGCCAAGTGGGCAACACTCTGTCGAGCGGTAAAAATGAGGAAACTTCGGGAGAGCCCACGATTGGAACTAGTCACGAACGCTCAGTGGCAGTGATATTGATCGAATGTAGAAAACACCGAAAGACTGACGGGTCACGGTGTTATTACATGGTGTTTCGCCTAAGACTTTGACCATCTCCTCATCATTCATCCTATGTTTTTCCGCGATCGCGACCCCTTTTGAGAATATCGCTAATCATAGGAGACGGGAAGCCAAGATATTTGAACCAGTGACAACAGCGTGCCTAATTAACGACGTAGAATGAGGAAAAATAAAAGAAAGTTTTCTCTAAGCTGACTTACACACACACACACACACACACACACACACACACACACACACACACACACACACACACACACACACACACACACACATATATATATATATATATATATATATATATTTCGTGAGAAGTCACAACGTGGTTCATTTCGTCGTTTCAGCCAGTGTCTGATCTTCATCAGGGTTGAAGGTACAGTTTGTTGGTGCTCAGCTTCATACAATCTTAAATGAGAGTGAGACAGAGAAAAAAGAAAGAAAGAAAGAAAAAAACAATGAGAATATGAGGCGGACTCCCCAGCCACCTCCTTCCACTCTGTTTCCCCTTTCCCCTTCCACCTTTCCTCTCCCTTTTCTCCTACTTTCTCTTTCTTCTTTTCTTCTTTGTCTTTCTTTTTCTTTTTTTTTATTTTGGCGTTCACTTTTAGGATATGCGTGGTCTGCGTATCCTTTCTTCCACTAACGTATTGTTCCCGACTAAACGGCGCCGCATGGCGTGCGGGTTAAATTTTCAGACTTCTACGCTTCAGACTGTGGCTGAAACGTCAAAATGCACCACGTTGTGACTGCCCACGGAGGATCTACTTCTTGACTACTTGCGATGCTACAGCCACTCCACCACCATGCATGCATATATATATATATATATATATATATATATATATATATATATATATATATATATATATATATATATATATATATATATATAAAATAAGGGAGAGAAGTGTATACCTAAGGGCTCGCATTTCCGTGTTTTAACACAATATTAATGAAATATAACAGACAGTAATGCCAAGGAATGTACAGGGGAAGTTATTTGAACCAAATGGAATGTAAATAAGAAGAAAGAAGAAAGAAAAGTGGATGAAAAAATTACCAGCTGTGAGTAGAATATATATATATATATATATATGTGTGTGTGTGTAATCATTCCAAGCATTGCAATGTCAGATCCACTCGACGGGTGAATAAGGACTGCCGACTTCTCGCTCTCCGCTTCGCATCGGTTGTTTCGGATAGTGGGGGCGTGGCCGCGATCAGTAGTAATGCTTCTAAGTTTGGTAATGTCGCCGTAAGCGTTTTGAGGATAATTTGATAAGTGGAAAGCTGCAATTTGTGAGTTCGCCATATGTCATACGCTGGCACTGCGCACGCGCGCCATGAGGGGGATGGGTACTTGGGGAACGGGGCAGTATGGTGCAGTTCGACACACACGCTGAATCATAAAATAGGAAGGGCCACCTAATTAACAGTGGTTGCATGCGTCTCATAATGCACTTCTTGTTTCTGTTTTCTGCACGTATTCTTTAGTAGTGAGTGCCCCGGACATTGTCTGTCTCCCATATCAAAGCATTATTCATTGTGACGTAAGGTTAGCTCTGCAACATCCTTCTGTGCCGTACACTAAGTCTGTGTTTATTTTCTCGTGACAAAACATGTTGTTCGACTAGTTTGTTATACTGTACGAAAGTTAATGACAAGGCAAGGCGAAGAAAGCAAGTTTTCTCATCAGCTTCCGTTGTGTCATTAAGTTTGCTCGCTTGCACTTCTGGTTATTTTCTGCCACGCCCTCTCATGTAATTAGATAGGCTTCAACGCAATTTAGAGGAAGACAAATGAAGACACACAGAACACAGACGAGCGCTGACTTATCTTGCTCTTCTGTGTACAGGTAATACAGGCAGGGTTTGGCGCATAAAAAGGCTCGTTCATGTGCAAATAAACTCTGTTGTAAGTCAGCACTCGTCTGTGTTCTGTGTGTCTCCATTTGTCCTCGTCTAAATTGTGCTGATGCCTAGCCAATTTTGTACCAACTTGCCCAAGTCGAAGTGCTCTCATGTAACTTCTATTGTCTTACTTACACACACAAGACCCCGCGAATGTAAACATGGTGCAGTGTTTCCTCAGCATTGCCTTTGCTGTGCCAAAATGTCTGCTGCACTTCGCGAAAAGACACTCACGTTTGTTCTGGTCGGTTCCTTCGGTGCAGGTGGCCTCGTAGCTCTCCTCCATAGCCTTAATGGCCAGCTGGGCAGAGACCCGGGGCAGTCCCTCGAGACACTCCTCGATGAACTTGAGCGTGCAAGCAATCTGCTTGGCATCCAGCCTGTGCGACACAGTACGGGAGCGATAACTGAATAATTCAATTCCTCGGTCAGTCATCTTCACGATGTCGTAGTTTATGCGTTTTAGACTACCGCAAAATATTAGGCAAATCGCCTCAGCACGTCAATGTGACGCGTACTTTGCTGGTGGTATGCATGCATCCTTATCGTAATAACACATGAATATCAGCGCTGTTGCCTTTAGGGGCAAAGCACCGTATAGGTCGCACAATCTCCGGCCGTTGTCGTTGAGGATCACCTCGCTGAATTATCTAGTCGAAGCGAAGGTGTGAGATATCTGTGCTCAGTATCGCCCACAGAGCATACGTAGTGCACATATAGCTTTAAAAAATAAAACGCGACAACGCCGTAATGACACTCATCTTTAACCATTCACAATGAGGCAGAGCAAAAAGCTACCTATAACAAAACAAAACGCTCTCAATGAGAACAAAATAGAAGGCCACAACCTCTTAAAAGAGGCAAAGCAAGAAAGCCAATGACATGAGAAGAAACCAAAACATTTGTAAACTACAACAAAGTTGGCTGTAAACTAGAACAAACAAAATAAAAGGCCACGACGACGTAAGAACATCGACATTTAACCACCCGTAAATAAAAGTACAAGACAGCAAAAATGGTCAGCAATAACAAAATAAAATCTGTTAACCAGCACAGAGTACAAGGTCACTATTGGTGATGGAATCCACACTGCTTGGCTCCAACGGCAGCATTATTCGGGTATCTGCGGCATTATCTTCAGCTAAGTATTACTCTCGGTTAAGACGAAGACGAAAGCTATCCTTATCTTTTTCGTTGTATCCTTTCCTTTCTGCCAATCGTCGAAAACTTCATCAACTTAACGCGGTTCGCATGCAGGATTTGGGGAAATGCAGGTAATGCACCTCATTTTCCGGTGCACTACCCCTGTGATAAGCCTTGGTTTGGGCAAGCGACGATGTTACTTGATTGCGTCATCATGAGACGCCATATTTTGTGACGTCATAACAACGTCATAACGATTCCAACATGACAACGCAAAACTTGACACTCTGTGACGTCATATTACCACGGTGCCACGTGATTACTTTTTTGGATGACATGTGTGGCGACCGTCCGCTTCCGAAGGACGCTGTCCCCATTGATGGTCAACTTCGGCGAATAATAAAGTATCTAAGGCTTTCGCCTTGATGAAGCAACGGTTGTTTAACAAGAAGGCGACATAGCATTGCCGTAAAGTTGGACCCTACCTTTGGATAGGGCAATACTGAACTTTTTGAAGCCTTTTTATACCCAGCAAGCAGACTTGTGGAATTACAAACCCAGAAAAAAAGAGACGTAGAGGTTTTCTTGGTTGTAGTGGTTGCGATCTCTTCTAAGGTATATTTGCATCACTGAGTACGTATACACGCATTCATTGTTTCTTAAAGCTGTTGTGCAGAAAGCTGACTCGGCAATTAAAATATCTATAGAGGTTCTGTGGTTGGGTATGGAGTATCAGAATGGTATTATCTAGTCCTTTCAATGGTACAGTATGATCACGCCAACAGCACTTCTGTGCAATTGCTGTAATTTTCTGCTCCCAAATATAGGAGTACCAAGCATTCTTAATCGGTAATCACTTTTTCTAAACACACTTGGACAAGGCTATATCTGAGACGGGTTGCTTGTCACCCATATTGGAGTACCAAGCCCTCTAAATCATTTTTTACCTGTATTTGTAACAAAAATGACAAGCCCTTGTCTTAGGCAGCCTGGAATTCTGTTGAAATATTCGAGATCAGATCATGAAAAATCACTTGGAAGCATTGGTTTGGGTAGGCGGAATTTTTTTTTTTTTCGTGGAGAGCATCTTCTGTGAAATGGTCATTTTTAACTCAGTACGCCGAGAAAACAAAAACAAAAAAACTTTGGCAGAGGGGGGGGGGGAGGGGGGCACGTGCTGGTGTACCGCCACCTGGCTGCGGCGCTGGCGATGAATGATCCCTCATTCTGTAATCTATATATCATTCGATAAGGCAGGGGACGGTTGAATGCATTATGGCCGCACGAAACCGCTTTGAAGCGCCGTCGTCAATAAGCATATCTTCACGTCGGATCCACATGGCTTAGCGTGCAGAATAAAGAAAGAAAGAAAGAAAAAAAGAAGGAAAGAAAGAAAGGAAGAAAGTTTATTTCGCTTCCGAGACGTTTCAAGTGAATTCATAAGGTATATCCTGTCATTTCGTTTTTTCTATGGAAGCCATTCGTGAGAATGTAGCCATGCACAGCTACGCGGAACAAGAAGTTCCATAACAAGAAGTTAATAACAAAGACCACAATCTAGAGCCTCCTACATTAATAAAGGCAGTGGGCTGTTGAGAACAGGTGAGGCGTATGGTGAATAGAACACAGTCTATCACTCTTACTTGCAAGCATCATCGAATTTATCCTTCGCCTCATGCAGGTAGCTTCGTGTTACAAAAGGTACGTAGTCCGAGCCGCATTCCCGAAGTTGTTCAATCTTGCACTCAGGTTTCAGCTGGGCATGGCAGGTTCCTGCAGCAATGCAAGAGGTTGATTACTTTCAATTTGCTACGTCAGTTAACACTGCTACTGATTCGAAAGGCAATAACGGAGTTGTTGGCACTTGTAGAGCCACTTTGCACGTCTACTTGTCGAAATTCCTTGCTAAGCGCTCAACACTATTCTTTTGAGGTTCCTTGGTTACATTGGACTATTGTACATTGCAATACAAATTGACGTCACTTTTGTATTTCTTTTATGCGCCTGGAAGGTGATAGGTAAAGAATAAAGTTTTTCACCACTTTCGAATGTCCAATTCATAACTGTGAAATAGTACTGCGTAGAATGACAGTGAATGAGCAGATTATTACCATTACTTGCATCATACCGCACGCTATGGAGGAGGCTTTACAACAATATTGTATACCACAATCTTAAAAAAAGGTAGTAATGCGTGTTTCTACCCTGCTTCTGAGGGCAGGTGAGAACTGCGAGGGTAGTAACTGTTCAAACCGTCGCGTTTACTATCAGCAGTTAGCAAATGTCACTACCCTAGGCATCAGAACCTACGTGTATAGTAAGATAAGTTTAAGGTAAACGTCGCTAGCATCCGCATTACTAAAAACGATAGTCTTTCTTGGGGACCTTCGACGCAAAAATTTTAGTCTGTCTGTCTGTCTGTCTGTCTGTCTGTCTGTCTGTCTGTCTGTCTGTCTGTCTGCACATTTGTCTGTTTGTCCACTCTTAACGGCATCGAATACTTGAAATGACCGACCCCATCCGCAGCGCCTACCTATGTTGCTCAAGGTTGAGCGTTCATGCTTGTGCAATTGTCAATTGAAAAGCAATCATTGCGTATTTCTGGGGCACCATAATAACACGTATATATTCTGCATGTGCGTCTCTTACTAGAAAAGGTATACATAAGTAATTTTAAGGACCGTAGCGCTTATCACGCTGTGCTGACCATGCAACGCTTGCACGGACAGACGAGTGTTTCCAACGCTTTGCTAAAAAAACGAAACGGGGGTGGCACCTACCCGCCGCCTTGCGTTCCACACCTTGTCACCGCTTAGATGAGCGCGCACACCCGTCTCAGAGCCACGCGCTTTGTTTTCTAAGACAACTGCCAGATGGCGCTTACGGCCAATGTGTGACGTGACTTCATGCGCTCGTTCGCCTCCACTGCACGCTCGAGGCACTCTAACGCAACGCCTCCAGAATACCATTAACCGATTTTCTTGCGCAGAACGTCGAATAAATGTCTTGTTCACTCTCTCCACACGCAAGACTGTCGTCTTTCGGCGACATTCGCAGATTACATGCAGATACGGGGCCGATTTTTCGCCTTGGTGACAGTGGTTAAATTCATAAAGTCACATCACGATTCGAATTTTTTAAAATCTTGCATGGAGAATAAAAAATTGCCCGCAGCTTCCCTCGGGGGAACACTGAGGAGGATGCGGACCATATAATTGGTTAACGGGGTGTTAAAGTGCGACTTACTTGGGTCGATGGCTAAATTGGTTAACGTGGTTGTGAAATGGGGTGTTAAATTGCGACTTACTTGGGTCGATGGCTAAATTGGTTAACGTGGTTGTAGGAGGGGGTGTTAAATGAGTGAACACGTACACACGTATGCGAAAGGGCGGCGCTGGTCGAAGGGACGTCGATCATTGTGTTTGTGGATTCGTTGGAATTCATTTCACCGCGACCTTGGACGTCGACGCGCCGTACAAACCAACCGACGAGCGGCAACTGAGCGAGCGAGCGCCGACCTTGAGTATATATACAGCACGACGGCGCATGCACTGTCAGCTGTTGAATGTTCTCGAAGCGCGACGCCACATGCGCGTCCACTGGAGAATCAGGAGAATTGTAGATGTCGAACGCGGTGTGTAGAGGAGGAAGGGTGCACAGATGGTGGAGGAGTGAAGCGCGCGCGGTGTGTAGAGGAGGAAGGGATGCGCAGATGGTGGAAGAGTGGGCGACGGCGCGACGGCGCATGCGCGCGCGTCAGCTGTCGAATGTTCGAGAAGCGGTGCGGACGGCGCACTACAAGGCGCGAGTATAAGATGCTCCGCATCTAAAAGACACATTTCAACAACTTTATTTATTGTTTCTTCTAGTACATACTATATACGTTCTCCAGTGCCCATGTCCAGGGCTAAAAGCTGCTGTCGGCAGCTTGACTTTGCCCGGGAGGCGTTGTACAGTGTCAATTTTTAAGAAAAAAAAAACACGGCAAAGCGTGGCCTGCGCGCTCCGGCGGCCGCTAGCAGCGCGTTCAAGCGGGAACGAGATCAACCACACTCTCTTGTCGCGTCATCTCGCGGCGAGCGAAACAATTATTCGCTGCGCATATAGAACGGCAAGATTGCAACCCTTCCCACTTTAAGGCGATTACGCGAAAGCCATTAATCGCCTTGAAGGGGAGGGGGTCGCAATCTTGCTGGTGCATAGTTTCATATCAGTAACGAATTGTTTTGCTCGCCGCGAGATGACGTGAAAAGAGACTGCGGTCGCTCTCGTTTCCGCTTGAACGCGCTGCCAGCTGCCGCCAGAGTGCGCAAGCCACGCGTTCCCGTGTTCGTTTTCATAAAAATTGACACTGTACATGACGGCGCGAGAGCAAACATTTTATTACAAAATAAATAACACTCAAATGCATGATTAGAGAATGGTGAACATTTGATGGCATACATATTTGCATTAAAAAACATAGCACTCAGACAAAATATGATCAGTTGATATATTGTTATACACGAATATGCCGTATACATGCTTACATGTTAATAAAATACATCTTCAATTCCTTACGAGATAATTTAGCAACGTGAACATAAGTATTTAGAATTTTCGGTAAAGTGTGTTCGAGGGATTGTAGCTTAAATTCAGTGCTGAAACGAGTACAAAGGAAGGTTTAGGGTTTCTTAAGTGCACGGGTACATCGTGGTGTTTCAAGGTCGCTAAGAATATAAGAAAATCACTGTATTCCTTCTTTGCAAAACAAAATATCTGTAAAACATGGTATTCGTAGTAGCGGTTGACGCGAACAATTTCGTGTTTTTGTGACAACGCTTATGTTGTGGCCCAGGGTTCAATACTTGCAATGTGCTGCAGAATTGCCTTTTGTAATGTAATTATTTCATCAATGTTAGTTCGCATTGCGGTTGCCCATACGGAACTGCAGTATTTAAACTACGAGGTGAATAGTGGCTGATAAATTCGTAGCTTGGCTTCTGTCGGCGTGAAATCTCTACATCAAAATAGTACACCGGTTATTGCAGAAAACTTGTTTCCAAGGTTATTATAATGAGCACCCCAACTCAGTGGCATGAAAACTTGACCCCAAGGATTTTATGTTAATTAACCAATTCTATATTTTTACCTAAGTAAGTGACTGAATGCACCAACTGAAAAGGTTTATTTCTGGCTCTAAAAAGAATCGCTTTTGTTTTGGTGGGGTTAATCTTGATCACATTTGAAAGAGACCAATATTATAGTTGCTTTATCAATGCCTTATATCTGATAATTAGTTCATTCACATCTTTCCTAGTGAATAGTATTGTACTATCATCCGCATATATAAAAAATCAACTGTGGGGTCGATATTTACCAAGTCATTATTATATAAGTTAAATAATAGAGAGCCAAAAACACTTCCTTGTGGTACTCTCTCTTTAAGGTTAAAAAAGAAGATACGACGTTATCATTACATACACGCTGAGTTTTTTTCGCAAGATATGATTTCATCAAAACAAATCGTTGTCCGCGTACTCCAAACATTGATAACTTATGTGTAAGAATGTCATGGCTGAGGCAATGCAATGCCTTGCTAAAATTACTAATAAGTCTGAGGGCAAATTTCCCATTGTCTATACTTAAAACAATACTACATTTCAGAGATAAAAGGGCTGCCGCAGTTTATCTACCTTTCCTGAAGCCAAACTGGGAGTTTGTCTAGAAACTTGGTCAGGCGTGCGGCAATACCTTTTTGTAGCACTTTCGAAAAAATAAGCTAAGATACATATTGGTCTGTGATTGGAAGCATTATTTATATCGTCATGTTTGAATAACACAGATGCTCTTGCTCGTTTCATGCCATCTGAAAAAATCGCTAATGCCATTTCTTAATTAAATATGTGAACCAACGCTCGAATAAATGGCAAGTGATCTAAAATGTATTTGATTGGCCTAATTTGTGAGTTATCTATATATAATGCCCTGCTGTTATTCAAATTCTTCTTTATTGAGGACACCTCATGTTCGTCTGTTGGCTCCCAAATATAGTTTCCGAAACATATTTTGAGTACGTAACTCGCAGGTCACCAGTGTGCGTAATGCCTGCATTTACAAAATGAGCATTAAAGTGGTCTGCCAGTGCTTTGCCGCTCAATCCACAATTTCTATAAGTTATCGATTTGGGTACAATACTTTTATTTTGATTGCCTAATGATTGCCTAACACTCCATTTATTACTTTCCAAACAGCATCCGGCCGCTTCCGGTTAATTGCAGAAAACATGCGATAGTTGTATTGTATCTTCTCTTGTCTTAGTACTTTATTCAGTCTATTTCTTTCAGCTATGAATTCATTGAGTTAAATGTATGATTAGGAGTGTAGGTACGCATGATGAAGACGGTTATTATTTTTTATTGTTTTAATCTGCTCACTCATATTCCACGTTTCTTTATTTTTTTTGACTGCCTAACTTGTTTGAATGGAAAATGTGCATTGTTGATGTACACAGCAGCTTCTAGAAACTGGTTATATGGTTCATTTCTGTTTGTTTTTTCAAGTACAGAATCCTATGTGTGCACACTCCCTAAGAGAAAGAAATAAATCCAGTGCTTGACTAGGAATATGTTGGTAAGAAACTAATTCAGTGTTTGGTTGGATGCTATTCTCCAGTGGGTTTATTATAAATACTGGACAGGGGTCACTAATATCATTAGAAATTCTGCCCACGAAATGCACAGACGTTTTTATATTCATAACAAATAGGTCGAGGGGTGACGAAGTTGACTGAG